TCTTGGACCGGGCGGACGGACCTGCGGCTGTAAGAGGCTTTCCGCCCCAAAAGAGGTTTGGAATACGCCGATAAGTGGAGGCGGCCTGTCGTACATCTCGGACATCATGTCCTGCTTCTACCAGCCTTGAAATAATTCTAAGAGCCGATGTCGTGTATTCAGCTTCTACTCCCGAGGGCAACGGACCCAAGATAACAGAAATAGGACGCACTCTTGCTTCCTCGCTTCTTTGAGCTGATGTTCCGCCTCTATTCGTAACCGTTGGGAATTTTCGGTCCATTCGCGAAGAGTCTTGGCTGAGGCAATTCGTTCGGAAGCTTCGGATTTAATTCTTTCGATTAAACATTCGAACTCTTGGCGAGCGCCTTCGTCTCGAGCCTCGAAGCGGAACTGGTATTGTTCCACAGTCTCCGACATCTTCTGAAGCTCATCAATGCGGTAGTAGTCATCCGATGGGCTCTAAAAACAAGGATTTGCCGTCAACTGAGATGGGGCCTTTCAGCGTGGCGGACACTCACCATACGTCGCTGTGCCCGTTGATACACTTTACGGAGAATTGTCGAGACGCAATCAGAGACGAGAAAAAACCTATGAAAAGGCGTGATAATGGTGTTTACGCACTATTCTCCCCTGGTAGAACCTCGAGAACGGTCCGAAAGTTGTCCAAATACGAATATTGCTCAAAGGCTGCCCTGCCAAAAACGACGCTGCATAGCGATAACTCAGTAGAGCGGCGGAGAACCCGAGACGACAGCTGAGATTACCTAGACTGGAAACATGATCTGCAAGCTCTGAGTCGCAGGGTGTACCAGACATACTGGCATTGGGTGGGAGACTTGCCGCAAACCTAGTGAACGATGTTTAGAACAGCATTAGTAACAATGGAAGTAACTCCACTGGAAAAGTCATAGTCTCACTGTACAGTCCTTTGTGAAAAGGAGGACGGCCAGTTGTGGTTCGCTTAGATCTTTTGGACATATGGGAACAGGGGGTGTGGCGGCTGCCCGTGCGGCCTTCCAGGCAATGGAGGATCGCTACTTATGGGGGCAAGGCGTTTAGAGATAGGCTCTCAAGTCTGTAAGGCGTGAGACAGACCTTGGACATGAGAAACGACCGCAACGCCTTATTGGTTCTTGACAGCTGGAGGAGTTCCAGCGGTGTCAGGAAACCAAATATCTGCGAGGCAAGCAAATTTAGAGCCTCCATAGTAACCTAAGAGTGTACGTGCATACCTCGTATACTGTGTCTAGCGGCAAGGGAGTGAAAGGGTCTCCTGCTCGAGACGTCTTGCGGTCCTTAGATCCGCCAGCACCTCGTGAACCGCGGGAAATTCTGGCCTTTTTCCTCTTCGGACTGGTTTCAGCTGCCATATAAGTATAATAGGATATATATCATCAGGTTATTATAGGAGCGACTGGGGCAAACACTGTACTGACACTGAGACTCTTCCTTCGTAGCCCCTTTCCCCCGCATGCTTAGGTCTTCCAGTTCATCGTCGCTCAGTTCCTTGTAGTTGATGGCAGCTTTCGATCTTGTAAGAACCATACCAGGGAGAAGAGCTTTGAGTACGAGTGAGAGGCTGAAGTTATCGCAGAGCGAGCAGGTTATGCCTTGTGGTGGAGGACAAAGATGGTTACCGCGCCACACGGACAATATCGGCGTTTGGGAAATATCCCCGAGTATCGAGGCGATTTACGCCCCGCGTTCATTCGCAAGCTTCAACATTTATACCTAGATCTTCGTGCCTAGTTCATCACCGTCTGTGAGGCATCCTCGGTTCCGGAGGACTGTCCTCGAGGGTTTCCGGAGGTCCGGTCTCCGCGATGAACCTACCCAAGTAGCCTTGAGAATCAGGGACTACCGGGATTGAGAAGGGATTGAGTTAACTTTAACATCAAACGATCTTGCTAACAGGCTTCCTCAAGTCCTCCAGGCCAGTGGGGGGCGTGCTGTATGGGAAAATGAAAAAAGCTTTGCCCGAGTCCGTCAATGTGACAGACATGCATGTTGAGTGGCGCGCCAGGACGTCAGCGACTGTGGAACAAGTCCATTTTTACAGACGAAACATTTTATACACGAAGGCTGACTATCCCCACTTATACACCCTTGGTCTCCTCAACCCACTCTTCCATTGTCTTCCATTTCCAGTATTTTTGACCAGGGTTCAAAATCTCGTTCGCGTTGTCCTTGGTGAAGTCGGTGAGGCCATGTCCGTAGCCGTACCTGAGGTAGAACAAGACGGTTAGCGTAATATACCGGCGCGTCTGAGCCATTGAACTTCATACCTGAGTGCGCGCCAGAACCTGGTCCATGGATCACCAGTCGACAGGAGGTTTTTCGACTCTGCGTCGTCAACCTCGACAACCTGGATCTCCGTGCCCCGAGCTTTGCCGACGAGAGCGGCCAGTTGATTGTATGAGACCGCAGAGCCGTTGATTCGCGTGAAGTCGGGGACGGAGTTTGGATCCGCAGCGCCGAGTACTGAGATGCGGACGATGGAAGAACTGATATCCTCCCTGGAGTTGAATGAGATTGGAGTCTCGGCGGGTCCGAAGCTAGTGTAGACTCCGTTCTTAATGTCGAGTCCGAGGGTTTCCTGATATACCAAAGAAGTCGATTAGTTGCTGCTGAGGACTCTGCTAATGGAGACACCTACCCCCAAGCCGAACGTATCCTCCAAGAACAGACCAACGTACAGACTAACGATCTTGACCTTTCCTCCAGAGATTGAGCTTGCATAGTGGTAGTGGGCCTCTTTAGCGTCGAAGAGTTCGTGGTGGAAGTCGTTGTTGCCACGGTGGTCGCTGGTTCGTGTGGAGTGGGGTGAGCCTCCAGACCGCCGAGTAAGTCAGGTTGAACTTACATTCCGAACTCGCTGGGGATATACACTTTCACTCCAGCATCGACTGCCTCCTTGGCGTACTTGTTCATATAGTCGAGGTCGACAGCTCCACCAATCAGGCTGATGAAGACGTCGACGCCCTTCAAGCCGGCAGCGGTGACCTCACCCTCGATGGGTTCTGCGCCCAAGGTCTTCAGCTCTTGCGCTCCAGCAGAAGACGGGTTGCGAGTGAAGAATTTGACTTTGCTAACTTGAGACGGACTGTACTCCGGTGAGAGGAAACGGCGGACGACGCGTAGACCTGTTTGGGGTGGGGGGGGGTTGGGTTGGACGAAGAAAACAGAACATTACAAGTGATACCCACCGAGATCGCCAGTAGCGCCGAGAATTGCGACTGTGATTGGAGCCATGGAAGGTGTTCTGAACGGTAGTTGCAGGAGTGTTGAGATTTGAGGGAGCTTGAGTTTGCTGAACCGTTGACCTCCATCCCATCCGTTTTTATACACGCGTTCCATTTCAAGACCAGCCCAATATGGATCTCAGGAAAGTGTATACGCAATCCTTACACTCCAGATGTTTCCGCGGAAGAAAGGTCTAGCTTGGCTTCTCATGGCTAGCTGACGCATCCATCGACGACCGATCTCCACACTACAACAAATCAGAGACGTCTTCGATTAGCAAAGCACCCGGAAAAGGTAAGAAAGCTCACCGAACTGTGGCTTACTTTGGCTGAGCCTACTGGGAAAGTTCATTCTTGTTCGGCATTGCGATGAGTAACGCGCGGGAGAACCGGTTCGCGGAATACCGGGCACGCGCTGACGTGAATTCTGTGCCTTGTCCCTCTTTTGCCTTTATGAGCGTAAGCATCGCGTCTATGACTGTAATGTGTCTCGTAATGGACCTCCATGACTTGCGAGAAACGCCGAAGTTCAGTCGGTTTGGAGTGTTGGCAGTGGAGCAAAACAAAAACTTTGGCTGGCCGAATTCCGTTATGTCCGTATCTCCGATGATCCCGTGACCCCAGCCAGACTGTGGACCTGGACTTGTACTTGGGCTTATATATAGCCGTGACTTTCGTTTTCCTCTCTGAAAGTTTCCATCCATCCGAGTTTCCCTCCGTCTGCTCCTGGTAGCTACTGATTGTAAGCGGGGTATCTGGGGTCCTGTCCCCGCACCTTGGCGTCTCTAGGCAGTCTGCTCGCGCGTTACAAACATCATCATCGTGACCACAGCCAGACGGCCGACCACGATGATCGCGATTACGATGAAAGGATTCACTCTGTATTTCACATTTGCGTGACTTTACGATTATCATGTGGGGTACTGCGGGAGAGGGGCGGTGAACCCCCTTGTTTTCCTTGGCCGCACAGCTTTCCATTCTTCACAAAGACTCCCCTAGGTTCAGCAACTCATTCACGTACTCTTTGGCTAGATCCATCACATAGCTACCGAACAAATATCTGGCTTACGATTTGAAGCGAGCCCAGGCACACGAAGTTGTGTCAAGCGAACCAGTGCACTTGAGTCTTGACTGGGACAACAAGTCGGCTGGATTGTCGGGGAGCCTCTCTTAGCTGAACTCCTGCCGCGCTGGTCGACCGAACTTCGATCGTTTCGCCGGACGCGGTCGGGGACGGACGTGAGGTTAGGCGAGGTAAGGAATGACAATGTTACCGATGCCGTCCCGATATCAGCAATGCTGGTGGCACTGAGCTTATTGGTCGGAGATCCAGAAACGGCTCATATGCGGTTGGGAGAATCGAGTCATATGGCAGCCTTACTGAGACCAGCTCGATCAAAGTTACGCCCACGCAAGAGTGCTTAGACTGACACCTCTCCAGCAGACAAGTAATGCAGCAACTCCCCAGAATAGACCAAGTCACCGAGACGACTTTGGTCTTCCGCAGTCTAATTTGCGTGCCCGTTTTCCGTGAACCAATTTCTTCTATAGAGGGGGGGGGGGGTTAACGTCGAGCACGTGGGCGTCGCTTGAATCATGCCCGCGGGGCGAGCAATGGTGGGGTATGAAAAAGATATATTAGACCCGACAGGATTTGAACCTGCATAGTAACCTTCGTGGAGACGGAAAGCGAGCTTTACCGATTAAGCTACAGGCCTGAACAAACGGCAATGTGCCCGTTTTTTAGTCATGGCTTTCTTTCAAGTCGACCTCTAAATACGGTTCAACGAAGGCTAGATGAAGTTCCGCAGCCTCCCTTTTGAAGCAATGGTCCCGATAGAGCACGGAGGTCGGATCTCTTGGCAACGAGGTCGACCACTCTGATTCATCCCGTGATCGCAGCCATCGGGGGTAAACGTTCCCTCGAGCGGTACACGTCTGATGACCATGTCGCAATGAACGAATGCACATATTTATTTCGTATACAGACGGCTCTTCATTGACCGTTAAGTTAATTTGTAGGCGGGGCACAATGAACCTCTTTGTTTTCCTTGACCGCGACCGCAACTTCCAAAACGACCCTCCTGGGTTAACTAACTCATTCTCATTCTCTTTAGAGAAGTCCGTTGCACCAGTACCAAGCATATATCTGGTATATGATGCGAGTAAGCACACGCACTCCTAGCTCATTTCAAGGGAATTAACGTATTTGACATGCGACAGCAAGTCCGCCGGATTGTCGATGAGCTTCTGCTTGGTTTCTGCTGCACTCGTCGATTTGACCTCTATGGTTTCGCCACGCTCATCACCGACGATTTTAGCCAGATCGGCGAACGAAACCGCATCTCCGCTAAGTCGAACGTAGTCGGGAACGGAGCTGGGGTTATCCGACGCAAGGATCGACAGCCGTGCCAAGGCGGTTCCAACATCGACCATGCTGGTAACAGTGAACTTATTGCTGGGAAGTCCAGGGACAGTATACACACGGTTAGCGGTATCAAGTCCGATCATTTCCTTTCCACAGGAGCGTGAAACGAACTCGATGGGCGGTGAGGCGAACGCAGGACACTCACACCTCCCCAGAAAAGGTAGTCTAGGAACTGCCCAGAGTAGACCGAGACCACTTTCATCTTATCGGAGCCTAACTCGCGAGCCCCTTTTGCATGAGCCACCCTTCATCTGGTAAAGGGGGTGTTCAAAGTCGAGCAGTCACCAGCAACACGTCCAAGGCACCTGTCGCGTCATCTGTGGCAGACCATGCTGGCTCGGTCAGCCTCCACCATTTACCCCAAAACCGGTCGAACTCCGATCCTTCTTGGCTAAACCCAACAAACGTCGTCCGTGAGAAAAGGGGTCCTGTGCCTGTAGTGGAGGCTGAGGTAGGCTTGAGTCAGCACTTACAATAGGCACAGTGAGCTCTCCACCATGGGTCCTTCCTTTGGCGACTGCGCGAGCACCGGCGAATCCTGGGTCGGGAAGGCGCATCGTCGAACCTGGACTATAAATGTGGCTATATCTGGGCATACATTACAGCATCAGCTATCGTGTATCATTTTCTCTTCCTCTGCAACTCAGATATGTCACACATCAGCGTCGCAATTGCCGGAGCTACCGGAGATCTCGGTAAGACCCCAACTTTTAAGACCCATACATCCGACAACCCTCCCTCACCCATGTATACACAGGTCGCCGAGTCGTTCGTCGTTTCTTGTCCCCAGAATACTCCCCGTCTCAAGTCGCTGAAGTCAAGTTCTTCACCCGTGACGCGAGCTCGGCGGCTTCCCAGGAACTCATCGGCCTGGGAGTTCAACCTATCGAAACCGGGATTAGTGCAGAGAGCTTCAAGAACGTGGACGTATTCGTGAGCGTTCAGGGCGAAGGCACGACCTTGGACGAAAGGAACGCGTACGTGAAAGCCGCAGCCGAGGCGGGCGTGAAAGTGTACATCCCCACGGAATTTGGAATGTGCGTTATCGTTGAATTCACTGTGCCTCCAAGTGAATTGACGGAAATTGCACTTGTAGTGACTACCGCAAGCTGCCCTTCGAGCACCCAATCTGGGACTTGAAGCTGTCTCACGACAAGTACGCTCGAAGCGTTGTTGGTGGGAAGCTGAAGGTCGTCTCCATCTACGTCGGACTATTCCTGGATGACACGTTCCCTGTGGGAGTGAGTGCATGGTCCGCTGCTCAGGGATGGGACTAATGCACCCACCTTTGAAGACTTACCTCGGGCTTGACACCCCTAGCAAGGTGTACACTGGCGTCCTTTCTTCTGATACACCGGTGTCATTCCTCTCGAGGGACGATATCGCTAGGTCCGTGGCAAGGATCTCCGTCCTTGCTGCCGCAGACCCTACCTCTGTACCCGATCACGCGCGAATCAGCGGTTCGTCCATTTCTTACAGAGGGCTCGCTCAGCTTGTGAGCCAGGTTCGAGGCGAGGAAATCAAGGCGGAGACCATGGGAGAGGAAGAAGCGAAAGCAGCTATGGCGAGTGATTTCTGGGTGGCATTGAGGTATGAAGCTTCGGGAAGCTGCTGTAGCAGAAGGCTTCGAGCGTGTGTTGATCCTGATCTCCTGATTCTTTGTCGCAGGTATACAATGGGATACGGCCTGACGGACTTTTCGAAAGACAACGCAAATGAAATCATAAATCCAGGGGAGTCTTTGTGGAAGTGGAAGACGGTGCAGGAGTATGTAGAAGAGACAAAAGGCCTTGCCCCGGAGAACAAACAGCTCCGCCGTGAATGAAGAACCTATTGTTCTTAACGACTTGCTATTGTCCATATACCAACTATGTATGCGGCTTCAGTTGTGAAAATGTACTTGTTTGAGCTGAGACTGACCCTTGGTGATGGTTTTGCACCCTTGGATGCGAGGGGTCCGGAAGTTGCCGGAATGAGATGAACGGGAATATTTGCGAACCGCCCACGAACTGGACCACCCATCAGCCATACTTCGGAATGACCACCATCAGCTTCGCTCGTCCGGAGATCAATGCGGATGTCCGGCGTGAGCTTCGGGCTTCGGACAAGGTGAGGTCTTGGCTCGCCAGGGTCAGAAAATACGACCAACACGTCAGTTCCCGCTACGCCCCCCACAAATCTCGGCCCGAGTTCGGTGATCTTCCTTACGATGATCGAACGTCACTCATCGTCCACATTCCTCATTAGGAAATACCGGCGGCAACTTTGTTTGGTTCTTCGGTGCCACGTCAACCTGTGCCATACCAAAGTTCACAGGTACAGCGGTGAAGGCCCCCTCCCCAGCTGTCGGGCTGCGGAAAGCCTGCCGACTGCTGTGATGGCTCCAAGCACACAGGAAATGAGTCAGCAAGAAGATAATCTTGGACCCGTTTAGGAAATTGACTTCTCGGCTAAATCTCGCCGAACCCCAGCTTCGAACGAGGCAGTGTTCTTCTTCCCCCCAGCCGACTGACCTCGTTGGCCCCTGGCTTCTGTCAATCAACTACTTGACGGACGCCCCGATCAAAGAATCTTCAGGATACCTCCCATGGATGCCTCGCAAGCCTCTCGCAGGGGCGGATCGTCTGCTGCTAAAGAATGGCTGAGATCATGGTGAGCTCAGCGACCCTCGGGGTATTCAATTGACTGACGACTGTCGTTCTCTCCCTCAGGTGGTATGGCCAGTCATTCACTGTCACCCGCTTCAACGTCGTTTTCTTTCAACTTGTGTGCTCTTGGGTCTGCCTTTCATGCTGGGCTGCTCATCAAGTGACAGAAGGGGCTTGGAAAGCCAAGGCTAAAGAGTCTACAAGTAAGTTCGCATGGATGGAGTGGAACGTAAGTGGCTGATTAGGCACTCCCAGAGGCCACTGTCGGTCTGTTTGCAGCATATACAATCACGTCTCCAGTTTGGGTACTATTGTAAGACAATCACCACGCTTATTAGCCGAACCAACCTACCTGATTCCTCTTTTAGCGTGTTCTTGGATATCTATCGGAGGGGCACTCTCGTCTCAAGGACGGCCTTTGAACTATGCTTTGTGGCGTGCCTCGCAGCTTTTAACGGATGTACGCTCCAGTTTATCTTCTACCGTCATCTCAAGCTGAATGAAGTTCTATCTCAGACCTCATTCACCCATTTGTTGTGGACGGGCAAACGTACCAAGATGGAACGTTCAGCGTCGTCTACTTCGCCGTGCAGATTGCTGCGCTCGCACTCGGGTTAGCGGTCTGTTCTTTCTACGTCCTCTCGCTCCTCATAGTCGCCATCGACCAGCGTGACCGTCGCGTCTGGTTTACTGGGGTCCGGGACTTTCCGTGGTACGGCCGACCTCCACCTGCCGACCCATCGGACGCGGCTCGTGCAGCCAAGTACAAAGCCGCATCCACCGTCCGAGTCCTTGCTGTCGGGTACTCGAGAGGCCTTGGAATCGATTCGGGCTTCTACAGACCTCTCAACAACTTCCTCTCAACGCATACGTTCTTCCGGAGGGTCATAGGGGTAGAGCCGATTTGGCTGGCCTTTGCTCGCGGGATGGTCGGGTTGGCGTTCCTCGTGGGGTTGTTGGCGTTCGGGATTATTCAGTGCATCAAGTTGCCCTTGGCCGAAGACGGGAGCAATCTGCCAACGAGAGCAAGGGAACTGGGTCTGTGGGACAAGTTGCCTCCCTCGATGTCCCTGGAAAACGTCACGGTTGCCTGGGTGAGCGTGCGAATGTGTGCTGAAACTGACCACATGCTTAACACTCACACGTTGTGTTCCCTGACGAATAGACTGTGTACCCGGAGAACGGAAGATTTGATCCTGATGGGCTCCCTGTGCGTCCAACAACACAGGTTTTTTACGCAGATGGAACGAATCGTACGCTCTCTATATCCATGAACTCTAGCAAACCGCTCAACAACCTTTTTGTTAGGGGAGTGCAATTACACGATTGCCGGAAACCCTAAAAATGTCAACGAGCCCAACTATATGTGGACTTGGAACTGTT